TATGTACCTTTGATGATTTATATTATATCTGTCTCTTATACACATCTAGATGTGTATAAGAGACAGGTATTATGCAAATGATGAATTCTATCAAGTTTCCCTGGACCCTTGCGTCACCCCACGCTTTAATTAAGAAACGGACATTGGCGTTGGTACACTGCATAAATGTTGTTGTCTCAAAATCAAGTAATGAAATGACCGAAGAAGCACTCCATATACAACAATAACCTTCATAAAGCATATGGGCCAAACGCCCAATAAATCGCAGGTGTACGGATATTAGCAGGCGGTCCGCGTCTAACACCCGTTCGGGCGAGAACAGGAAATGTCCGTTTCCGGATTTATACCGTGTTAGACTACACAAAAAACTCGCCCGAACGCACCCTTATATGTAAAATTCATTATTATCGATCTAATTATTCGGTGTGATGTACCATAGAAAATAAAACTTAACTATCTTTGATGTATTTACTTTACCTACTTCATGTGCCAAAAACCAATTTTTCTCATATTTCTCAAATTATAATAAAGGCACCGCATTCAAATCTTGTATGCTAGTGGTAATTCAGGTGTTTGTGGGCAGAGTATACCGGCTGTCTCTTATACACATCTAGATGTGTATAAGAGACAGGTCCAAAGAACATCAGATAGGAACACCCTAAGGGGAGGTAAATTGCTGTTAAGTGGGGCCCTTTAAAAAAAAAAAAAAGTAAAAAAAACATTTAAAAGTGAGAAATTATTTTTTTTTAAATCTGTATTACTACCAATCATAATTTAAAATTTTGGCATTTAAAGCATTAAAATCTTCTGATGATGCAATTAAATTGTCAAAAATGTAATATGTTAACTTGTGTTTCTTGTAGAAAGTCCATCTTCCTGGAGTTGGTCCACATGGTGGAATAACTTAAGTAAGTATAGTATTATGAAATCATCTTATGTACAAAACGTTATTTAGATTTTAATAATATATAGGCCTATATATTAAATTTGTTGAGTACTAAACTACAACAATATACATAATATTTGAATTACTTACTCGGAAGAGGGTGGACGGTAAAAATGGTCCCCGAAAAATGGCTCCGGAAAGAATGGCCCAGATAAAAACGGCCCCAGTAAAAATGAGGGAGGATGCATGTTTTGGCGGTAGGGGGTGCATGCAAAAATTTGAAGAAATAGTACCTGTAAATTAAATGACACATTTATAATAGTAAAATTCATCATCATCACATCATTATATCATTATATACCCCGGTAGTCAAAATAAAGTCAAAACAAATTTTCATGATTTTTTTTTCATCGGCGATTTTCGGCAACCATAGAGATCTAAGTAGTATGTGTGATGAACCAAAGAAAATATATCTTACACACATTCTCTTTGATGTATTTACTTTACCTACTTAAAAGCAGTGAGTCCACAACCACCTCTGCCCCACTATGGTTGGGGCTGAGGTAGGTGAGAAAATTTGAGGAAATAGTACCTTTATATGGCCGCAATTGACACTTTTATATTATAGTAAAATTCATCATCATCACACCATCATGTCTAGATGAAGCGCCAGCAAATTTCTCATGACTTTCAATCAGGGATTTTTGGCAGCCACAGAGTTCTAATTATTATGAGCGATGTACCATAGAAAAAAACTAGAGAAATACTTTCTTTGATGTACTTAATTTATTTGACCTATCTCAAAGCTGTGTGGGCAACCATGGGCTGAGGTGAGAAAATTTAAAGAAATAGTACCTCTAGATGACCGGACATGACACTTTTAAATAGTAAAATTCATCATCATCACATCACCATTATAATATAGTCAAAATGAAGCGCCAACAAATTCTTATGATCCTTCATCAGCTATTTTCGGCAACCACAGAGATCTAATGTGTGATGTAGGTACAATAGAATTTACAACTTAAAAACATGTCTTTGATGTATTTACTTTACCTTCTTCAAAACTGTAAGTCCACACGCATCTCAGCCCCACCACAGTTGTGGCCGAGGTGGCAAAATTTGGGGAAATTGTACATCTAGATTGCCGGATATGACACTCATAGGGTGTGTTCGGGCGAGAACAAGAAAAATTTACATAGGGTTTTTACTGGAATTGCATCGGCGGTTGGTCTACCAGTTCGCGCAGAACTCGGCTTTCAAAAAAACCATTACTCTCTGTCGTAAAATCTAAGGTATTATGCAAATGATGAATTCTATCAAGTTTCCCTGGACCCTTGCGTCACCCCACGCTTTAATTAAGAAACGGACATTGGCGTTGGTACTGTCTCAAAATCAAGTAATGAAATGACCGAATAAGCACTCCATATACAACAATACCGTAAGCTTCATAAAGCATATGGGCCAAACGCCCAATAAATCGCAGGTGTGCGGATATTAGCAGGCGGTCCGCGTCTAACACCCGTTCGGGCGAGAACAGGAAATGTCCGTTTCCGGATTTATACCGTGTTAGACTACACAAAAAACTCGCCCGAACGCACCCTTATATGTAAAATTCATTATTATCGATCTAATTATTCGGTGTGATGTACCATAGAAAATAAAACTTAACTATCTTTGATGTATTTACTTTACCTACTTCATGTGCCAAAAACCAATTTTTCTCATATTTCTCAAATTATAATAAAGGCACCGCATTCAAATCTTGTATGCTAGTGGTAATTCAGGTGTTTGTGGGCAGAGTATACCGGTATCTTTCTATAAAATAAGATATACTCTGGCTGTAGGCCTACCGCGCTCTTTCGTTAAAACCCGAGTCATTTATGCAATTTATTTCAACAATTTTCAGGCATATCTTCTTGATTCCCGAAAAGTTAGAGGACCAACCCTTTCCCCTTAAAAATATGTTTGGGGGGGGGGGGCGTGTTCCCCTTTCCCAGTGATCTGCGCCCATTAGTCTGTGAAGAGTCCACATCACCTCAGCCCCAACATGGTGGGACTGAGGCGCGAAACTTTTAAGAATATCGAGCTCTAGATGCCAGTAAATTGCACTCTCATACCATAAAAATCTTACCAATAATTCATATTAACAATATAGTACAACAAATATTTTTCATAATTGAATTAAGGGGAATGCGACCGCACCATCTGTACCCCCTGCATCCGCCAAAGACTCTCAAAATCATATTTTTACACTACAGTATCTGGAGGAGAATGCAGGATTAGGCGTTAGAGGATGGGTGACTCGACATCACCTCGGCCCCACCATGGTTGGGGCTGGGGTGAGAAAATTTTGAGAATATCGACGTCTAGGTGCCCTCATACCATAACACTAGGTACTCTCATACCATAAAAATTGTACCGGTACTAGGCCATTCAAAATAACAATACAATACATTAATTATTTTTCTTAATACAATTTAGTAATATACAATATATATATATATATATATATATATATATATATATACATGTATATATACATGTATATATATATATATGGATAGATCTAAGCTGTATACATCATCAAAGGTATACAGTGTCTAATAAGGACATGATGTTCCATCATGTCCTTATTAAACACTGTATATGTACCTTTGATGATTTATATTATATATATATATTTTATGATATACTCTAAATCATCTTGATGTTGTAAATATATATATATATATATACATATACATGTATATATACATGTATATATATACATATATATACAAATGTATATAAATTCATATACATATATATACACATATATACACACATATTTATATTATATATATATCGTATATATATACGTTTATATATATATATATATATATATAAGTTTATTTTTGTTTTTCAAAGATGAAATGTTTTTATTTCAAATGTACATTATTTACATTTAATATATACAAAAACGATAAGTCATTAAAAATTCATTAAAAATTATAAACAATGGTTTTTGTTGTGTAAATTTTGTAGATGATAATTGAATTACATTGCTTTTACTAAAATATAGAAAATACACTAGTTGGATTTAATTTCTATAGTATTTATGGCGTATTTTAAGTGTTGGTTGTAGAGAAAGACGATAAAGGAAGATTTAAAAAAATCAGTAACATACTTAACTTGATTAAATTTTCTTTCAATTTTATCCTCCGTTAACACATTTTAAAATTTCTTAAAATTTTATATTATGAAAAATGATACATTAAGTAACTACCTATATCATTGCTTAATATATATCTTATCGTATTTTGATGAAATAAATGTGGAACGACCCCTGCAGAAAAGAAAAAAAAATACGTTTTATGTATGTACAGATACGATTTGAAAAATAATTTATATGGATTGTATATTAACGTAACAAATGTAACATTTTGAATTGTGTTTTTATAGGCGGCTACCCATACAGTTCTTCCGGTAAGTATAATATTATAAAACTTCTGATGTACATCACTATATTTAGATATGATATTGAAGGAAGTTAGCCGTTAACACTGTAGAATATATATAATATAAATTATCAAAGGTACATATACAGTGTTTAATAAGGACATGATGTTCCATGCTCCATATATACATGTATATATACATATATATACACAAATGTATATATATTCATATACATATATATACACATACATACACACACATATATATAATATATATATGCCGTATATATATATATATATATATATATATATATATATATAAGTTTATTTTTGTTTTTCAAAGATGAAATGCTTTTATTTCAAATGTACATTATTTACATTTAATATATACAAAAACGATAAGTCATTAAAAATTATAAAAAAATGGAAACAACAATGGTTTATTTTGTGTAAATTTTGTAGATGATAATTTAATTACATTGCTTTTATTAAAATATAGAAAATACACTAGTTAGATTTAATTTCTATAGTATTTATGGCGTATTTTAAGTGTTGGTTGTAGAGAAAGGCGATGAAGAAAGTTAAATTAATTTTAAAATGTGTTAAATAAAGATAAACTTT